TGGCATTTTTGGTGTGGATAGGGCCATCCTGAAGGGGTTAGCTGCGGATAAATACCCTGCACTGTCATTCCAGTGTATCAATCAATTCCATTATTCTCATTCTGGTTTCAACCATTCAGTGCAAGTCTTCCAGCCTTGCTCTTTCTACAAACTAGCTTCCGCAACGCCGGCATCATGCCTTTCTAGCAAATATGAGGGATTTGACAACTAAGGTGAAGTTTATGCCGAGTGTATGTAAATATGGCCGTTTTGCGCACCAATAAGAGTAACATGGACCATACAAGCATACGTGCACGCACACACACACACATTGTATAGGCGTTCATAATAGTTCTCACAAGAAATTCATTCAAATGAGTGCAGACATTCTGCACGTGCTGGGTTTCAAGCACAATTGGTTATTGTTTTCACTCTGAACGCCTGTTGTGTAGTTATCTTTTTTCAATTTAGTAAATTCTGTTTCCCTTTGATGTATTGGTGACAACAATAACGAGCATGGCAAACCCGCAATCCACAAGGTCGTTCCTAGTCGTCCAACGGGAGTTCTCCCGATTAATCACTGCTGGTCGATGGGTTGAAATCACATCGCGGGTTCAGTTTGCCTTGAACACTACTGTTTGCGACGTGCCAAGTTCACCACCTGGCTGTGTAGCATCGTGGGTCGTGCACCCAACTGTCGAACTTGTCACGCGAACCCGATTGGCGACATCAACATGTGGTTACTGCCGCAGGTGGTCCCGCAAAGTCATGCACCTGTACAGTAGCAGAAGTTCATTTTGTTCAAAACAAGCTGTTTTCTTTGGATCGACCAACGGAAGTCAAGGGTGGTGGAAGCAAGGCGACGAATTACATCATTACCCTCGCATCAGCAACTCGATTCAGGACCAAATCTGGTTGGAGGTTAGCGCATGCTGCTTCGTCAGCAGTTTTCCCAACTGTACACTTCCTTTTCCCGCCAAAAGAGGTTTTTGCCTTCCTCCTCGGCATCACTACAGAGGGCGGGAGGAGGGTGTGAGAGCAAATGAGCTGGCTTGCTACCAAGGTGCTGATCGGTTCCAAGGAGCTCGGAGCTCGGAAGCGCAACCGAGGCCGCTACCGGGCGAGTACCGACGCTACCCAGTGAAATGTATTGATGATTATGATGTGCTGGAACTGTACGCTGCCAACGTCGTAATTATGAAATGTATTGAGCTGGCTTGCTACCAAGGTGCTGATTGGTTTCAAGATTCCACATCGAGACTGCACCTTGTTTTACGCCACACCAGAAATCCGTTAGATACTTACGCCTTTACCCGTAATTTAAATTCTTACTGGGCAGTCTATATCGCCTGCTCGCCACGGGCAAAATCGGGACTGTAGTGGGCAGGTGAAGAAATATAACCAGATTCTTCAAAATATCTCTTGAAAGGACGGACTCCAGCGTGATAAGCTCTATGTTTAACAGCTACGATCAAAATAGGGGCTTGTATCGTGCGTGCAACTGGTTGGTACCAAATGCAATTGGACAGGCTGTCGATTGTGTCAAGACCAAACTTGCGTGCAACAGCTGAGCATCTTGTGTATAATGCAGCTCAACGCGCTCCCCAACTTCCTATACACCCTGTTTCTCGCTACACTGGCAATGGGATTCACTGGCTACAGTGCGTACTGCTGCTTGGAACGTAGCGGTCTGGTGCTTACAACCGAACTGCAGGTTGGTGACGGGGCTCTCCTAGTGAACGGTACACAACGGTTTCTAAAAGGAAACTTCCTTAGGCGTACGGTTGAGTGCGAGTATACGTGCATATATGGTACGTTCTGGGACCATCCTGGACGCATTGATGTGTGTACATCTGATCAACCAGTATAGCCACTAACAGTGTAGCACGAAACAGGGTGTAGAAAAATCTTCGCATTAGTGGGGCTGACGAGGTGCAGTGCTTTTCCGCAGTTTCTAGAAGCGCGAAACCAGGTGTGCGTACAGTCCTCGTCTGTGGAGCGGAGATTGGGGGACGGGGGATGCAGTCAGGGCGGGTCATACCCTTATGTTCTGGGCTCGTTCGACGTGATTAAATATTCCATGTCCATACTTACAGATTTCTCTCAAAATTAGCTCCAGGCTTACTCAAAAGTACCACTTTCTAGAATTTCGCTCACGCGAGGCCCAAAGTATGTTCAGAACTGGTTCTGCGGGGCGAATTTTTCGACACATCTCGCTTGGAAAATTTTTCGACGGGCCAAAAAATAATAAAACCCCTCGGGAACTAGGGCGCATTTGCGGGAGGGATCAACCCTAAACACCAAGCGGGTCCTCGTGTTTAGGGTTGGTCCCTCCCGAACGTGTGTCCTGGTCCCCTAGGGGTTTTATGTTTTTTGCCCCCGTTAGAAATTGCTAATACGAAATAGGACACGTGTCGAAAATTTTGTCCCGTAGGACCAGTTTTGAACATAATCTGGGCCTCGCGTGAGCAAACTTCTAGAAAGCTGTACTTTTTGAGTGAACTTACGACTAAATTTGAGA